GATTAAAATAATATTAAAAGAAAAAATAAGTTAAAAATGTATTTAATTATTTTACATTTTTTTCTCATATATATCATATCTAATTATAAAAAAATTGAATAATCTTGCTGAACATAATTATTTTAACCTACTAAAGTAACCAAAAAAATTAAAATAACTTACTAAATTAACCAACCTCCCATACACCTCCTATAATTTTGCGTGGCTTTATTATTTTTTTTAGAGACCACACTCCTATTGCTAATTACACTCATCTTTTTTGTCCTACGTTGAAAAGATAAATATTAGATCATTGAGTACGTATAATGTGAATATTAGTGTGTAATGTTTTCTAGTTTCCGCTTCCCTCTTCGTTCTTCGTGTTCTTTCCGTTATATTAAAATTGATTGTTGTTTTTTTCTTCTTTCCTTAAGAACTTATAAGTAAAATTAAAATTAAAAAAAAAATCCATATTCTATAATTAAAAACTTCATTTCATTTTTCGTTTTCTTCTTTTATATGTTTATTATGATATGTTGTAAATGCAACATGTGTTCAAATTAATGTTCAGACAAATGCATTAACATGTTGTACAAATGCTTACTTTAACATGGTTTAGAAAAGTATTTCATAATCAGTCAAAACAATTGAATAAATATTTTTAAAATAATAACTCATAAAAACATACATAAAAAAGAGCATATGATACTATGCAATTCTTACCAAAATTTATATAAAAACAAAAATTTAATAAATTATTGAAAAACAAACTTTTTAAAAATGTTGAGAAACCATACTACGGGATTTGCATGTTCCTTTCCTTTGCTAGAAGGAATAGCTTTTTCTGTCTCTTTTGATATTGCTTTGTGTTTTTCCTTTGCCTTTGTGCATTAAAAATAAGTAGAATATATAATTCAAATATATTTTTAAAATGATAAGAAAATGCATGCGAATATAAGTTACTTGTAGGCTTACCTCACGAATGTGAATAGTATTTAAGGTCACCCTCATCGTGGACAACAACATTAACATTTCTTTCTTGAAGAAATTGAATCTATATATAAAAAAAACTTTAGAGTGATAAATAAAATTTTGTACACATAAATAAGAAAACAAAATCATTTCTTTCTTGATATTACCGTTCGGTGTAAGTCTTCATCCACCTAAAAAGTATGAGGGAAAAAGCATTTATTAGAAGAAAATTAGATATAATAAGTTTGAAATAAATAAATAAATAGGCCTTACATTATAAGAGAGGTATTTAAATTTCTATGGGGGGGGAGAAGAAAAAAAAAAACACTTGACCGAAAATAGTAATATTGTCCATAACTGTTGTACTTCAACTTGAAATGTTTGGTTATATAATTGTGGTTGTCCGATGATGTATTTTAACAATCACATTAAAATGATAAAATTAAAATCATCCCTAGAAACATGAAGAGTATTAAAATGGAAACACAACAATTGTCCAAATTTGAACTCTTTTTTCCCCCAATTGACTTCAATTTTATAATGTTGAAATTAAATTTATTATTATCATTTAGAAAGTCCAAACATAAATGTATGCCACCAAAAAAAAAAAATGTTTAATCAACAATTTATACTAACTATCAAGTAAAACTAACCCAACACATTGAAAAATACAATGGAACATTCCAAAAAAAAAAAACATGAAACAAACAACCCCAAATTCATAATAAAAAAAGAAAAAAATACAATCGAACAAACAAACAATGGAAGAAACTATACGCACTGGAAAAAATAAACTAAAAAAATACATTGGTTAAACCATACCTACTGTTTTTAATTACAGGAAGGGAATAAAATAAATTTATCACCTATATATTTTTCATAAACACATTGGTTAAACAAAGTCTTCTATAATGCTATTTAACACCTTTCAATAATTTTTCTATTGGTTGGCCTTTCAATCATGAATAGTAACATATAACATAATCTATGATGTCAAGGTAATGTGCCATATGGGCTGAAAGAAATAAAAGTAATATTAAAATGGCTGCTTAGTCTCTGCTTCTTAGTCAATAAGAGCATGTTCATTGTGTGAAGTACCCATGTAAATCAATTTATTGACATATAAAGACTATACTTTGAGTATGAACACCTGGCAAGAAAAAAAATAGAAGTAAAAGAACATATACTACCAACTGGTATGTTTTGGATCAGCAAAAAGTGAATATGATTTTACTATGCAAAAGAACATCAATAAAGGTGAAATAGATACCACTGAAAATTTCATACATCACACTAAACAAAAGGTATTACATGCCTTGCATTCAATATCATCTTAGCCTAAATCACACTAATAGTCCCCAGTAATGGAAAGATCATAAAAAGAAAAAGAAAATAAAAACCACGACCACCACCACCAAGTAACACACTGTATATGCAGACACAAAATGTAGGACCTGTTATTTCCACCTCAGAAAAGAAAGAAAACTGGTTGTTCTCACTTGAGGTGCGTTTGGAAGGCATATATAGATAGATTTGCAACTGTTCGAGGTTTCCTTGCTTGCAAATGCAAGTATGATGATAAATTGATAATTATTGATCCATTCACATAGGGTCTATCCAATTTGAAAATTGCAGAACAACTCTGCCTTGGATTTGAGAGTGTTAATGATGGTGGAGTTATATTCGTAAATTATTGAAAATACATATTGAGCTGAAGTTTATGAGAACTTGTTGACTTCTAAAGGCAATGAGGTAAATGAGGCTAAAACTATGTATACATGAATGGTTGTAAAACTAAGATTGAAGGGCCCAAACAACTATTATGAGTCTTTTATGTGCCGTTGTTTCAAGATAGTAGCTCTTGTACCATTGTTCAGGTGTTTGCTTGGTTTTTCTAGGAAATAGATGAGCTATGTGATGAATGGGTTCCAGAATCTCTTATACCACCAATTACAGAAGAGATGCGATATGAGCCTCTGGTATTGGAAAGGTAAAATTAGTTTTGGTTTGTCTTTATTTTATTATTTCCTTAACCTCTGAATTCTCTTGAAATGTTCTCAAAGTTATGTAAATGCGTTTCTTGCTTGGTACTACACTTATTTCTTTTTCATGCACTATCCAACCCTTTCATAATTTTATTTTGCAAGAATTATTATATGTTACCTTTTCCTTTTTTCTTTCTTCTTTTCCTTTTTTAAGTTTTTCCCCAGTTAGGTTGGTTAGCCACTGTCATGTAGGTGTTCATTATTTTGAGTATGGGCAAAATCTTATTTTTTAATCACTAAGTATACTTTAAGATCCAATAAATATTGAAATTCTTAAACAAAAATTATTTGTGAATTATTATTTTTTTAAAATATAAAATACACAAATCAAATAATCTGATCACATATCATGATATCAAATATAAAAAAATCCAATAACACTAAAGAAACATAAATGAGGTGGGGTCATATAAATTGTGAACCCTCTATACCAACCTATCACAAAGTGCAGTGCTTATCAAAGTAGATATCATATATAGATGGTCTGCAATTGTTGCCAGAAAATCAAAGCTGCATAATTCATGTGAAAGATGACAGATAGTGAGAAACGTTTCATGAGTGATGAATTTGGGGTGTTTTGGGAATTTGAATAAAAATTAATTTTTGACTTCTAATTTATTTTTAGTCACATTAATTTTTTATTTTTTTATATTTTTTCTTAAAAAAAATTACAAAATTAATTTTCAACAAACTTCCTAAAATAAGCTTTAATTGCTAAAAAGCAGAGATAGAGAGGGAGATAGCAGTGGCAGTAGGTGAGTTGCACAACAGCAATGCAACTACACTTTTTATTATTTCCTTAACCTCTGAATTCTCTTGAAATGTTCTCGAAGTTATGTAAATGTGTTTCTTGCTTGGTACTACACTTATTTCTTTTTCATGCACTATCCAACCCTTTCATAATTTTATTTTGCAAGAATTATTATATGTTGCCTTTTCCTTTTTTCTTTCTTCTTTTCCTTTTTTAAGTTTTTCCCCAGTTAGGTTGGTTAGCCACTGTCATGTAAGTGTTCATTATTTTGAGTATGGGTAAAATCTTGTTTTTTAATCACCACGTATACTTTAAGATCCAATAAATATTGAAATTTTTAAACATGGATCAAAGAGATTTGTCACTATAGCAAAGACATTCTTTCTCATTGGTTTGAACATAGACAGCCACAAAGAACATCAATTTAAACCTCAGAGACACAAGGTTTGAGAGAGAACTATAGCAAAGACATTCTTTCTCACTGGTTTGAACAGACATAGCCACAAAAAACATCAATTTAAACCTCAGAGACACAGGGTTTGAGAGAGAGGGAGAGAGGTATTGGAGGGGGCTCTAAGCAAAGACGATGACGATGACGATAACGATGGCTGTGGTGGTGGTGATATCCAAAGAATACCTAATTAACAAATCAATTCAAGGTTTAGAAAAAAAAAATCAAAATCAAAATGAGTACTCTATTACTCTGTTATATGATGGAGGAGGAGGTAGAAATCAAACATGATAAAATGAAGTACATAGTCACCACATTTAATCAGAAAGCAAACTACTTAGAATGGGGGTCTAAAGCAGTGGATTTCATCATAATGCCTTAACAAAAATTGAAACAGCCTTTTACAATAAAATACTGAACCATAAACAAACCTTGACACTAACTAAACTTTGGTTGCTGAGAAAACTGAGGAAAAGAAGAAAATAAAAAATAAAAAATAGAAGAAGATGGTTTTGAATCCTTTATCTTACATTGTTTTGTTTTCCATTCAAATCATAAACTGTGAGAAAACGAAGCATTAGAAGTTCATATGTTCGCAATTAGAATCTCACTTGAAAATTAACCCTAATGCTTCGCAGAAACTCTGTTTTTTGCTTTCTCCACAAGCCTTTCAAGGCAAAATCTAAAATTTCAAGCGGAAACTGAAATCATTACCCAACTAATCATCATAGTTCGAATAAAATCAAAGAATAAACGCAAAACTATGATCGCAATCTTCAATTACAATTCAATTAAAACCTAATCAAAGCTCAAAATTTCTCGGATCGAATCAAGCTACTGCGAAATGTGGAAAATTTGGAAAACGAAGTATTAGAAGTGAGAGAATTCTAGAAATTTACACAAACTGAGATTGTGCGAGACCTCCTTCGCGGTCAGCCCAACAAAAACGACTCTCTCTCTCTCTCTCTCTCTCTCACTCATTGTCTTTTTCTGAGTTTACAACTACAATGGCGTCGCCTTCCGATCCCTCCAACCAGTAAGTTCTTTCTATATAAATCATGTTGTGTTTGTAGTTTTGGTAATCAGACTCTCTCTCTCTCTCTCTCTCTCTCTCTCTCTTGTTTACTGAAGTTTGATGTATAAATTTATTTTCCAAGGCAGACTGCTGCTAGGAAACAAAACAAAGGACCCCCTTTGAAATTTATGTTTCCCCTAATTTATGCTCCTGTTCTTCCTCTCAGTAAGTAGTAGTTCTGGTTTTATTTTTATTTTTATTAATTTCTTTATGATGGTTCATTGTAAATTTACTAAATTGTATGTTTCTAATAATGGGTTTGATTCATTCAGTGTTTTAATCTTTGCGTTCTCAATTTTCAGTTCGAATTCAATTGCGACATAACCCTGTTTTGAGGGACCGTTTGTTCACTGTTGTGCTTGCTGGGGCATTTGCTCGTGGCTTTTACTTGATGTATCCTTTTTTGATTCACTGTTTTTTATTTTTTATTTATTTATTTTTTTGTTTTTGTTAATGTGATTAGGGTTATCTGAGACATGTTGCTAACTGGTTTCCCAAGGACCAGATTCACTGTCTGCTTATAATATTTCACAATTCATTGTTATTAAACAATAACCCATTTCAATTTTATACAGCATGATAATGCAAATATATATATATTTGGGATTAAAGGATTACTTTAAGTAATTAGATGTATAGTTGTAGGATTTTAAATGTTAACCTTGCAGGCTTTGAAGTCATAAGGTGGCAAACTAACGCTGCGAATGGGGGTTTTAGACTACTTAATTTAGTAGATGCGAAAAAGTTTGGAATAACTTCAGAAATTGTTGAAACAAACATGTTATTCCATGTTAAAATTTCAACATACAAAAAATTGGAAGTAAAGCAAGTGCTGAACTTTCTCTTGTTGCGACACACGTACACACACATAGACATTGGTTAGATAAAAAAGATTCTAAAGAACCTTTCAATATTTTTGCACTTAGCTCCAAAAACCAAATGACTTCCCTATAATAGTAAGAGTATATATTTCAAGAATTAAACTGAGTTGTTTACCAATTGGGTGTTACAGAAGGTTGTCTTGGGTTAATACATTCATTTGATCTCTCTCGTTCCCGTCGCATGCGTTGTCCTAATTGGTATGCAGAACATGAGTTTTGATTTTTTTCACGTTCTCGCCGTGCACGTTGAGCCAATGTAGCTTTTGATAACACATTATCATTGTGTGCCTAAAATGAGAATATTATATAATTAGATGCATAAAATATGAAGATTGTCCCATCTCTTGCTTCCCTTTTATCATGTATTTGTTCTCAAAAGCTTAACTAACTTTTCTTCTTCGCTCGGTTGAGTTGTTAGTCACATAAGAACCAATGCGTGTATTGATAAAATTTAAAAAGGGAGGAAAAAAACTGATGGAATTTCACCAAATGCCAAAAAGACACTATCCATCTAGTGTATATCCGTGCCTAAAGGCACGGTGTAAATAATATTGGTACACATATTCTACAAAAATCAATTAACATAAATTATTAATATTGGTATCACATCCTTTACAAAAAAATTAATTCAAAATGATAATAATTTCATTGCTACAGAAATCAATTATAACAAATCAATTCAAGATGATAATAATTTCACTACAATATAAAACTCCACACATAAGACTTCCTCCACCATCTACAGCAACACCACCGTCGTACGATGGCGGTTCATTTAAGTTAAAATGTAATTTATCAAATTCATTGCTAAAAGTTTAAGTTAAAATATTAATTCATATTTGAATTTTTTATAGAATTTCACCATCTAAAAAATGTATAGAATTTAAAATCGCTGTATGTTAACACATTTTTAAAATTTTAAAATGTGATTTGAGTTGAATCATATACAAACTTTAGTGTATTTATGAGAAAAATCTATATATATATCTATAATGTATTTAAACAATGTCACCTCAAACATTTTTTGAGTCGTATGTATTTAAATATTTTTTTGATTAAAATAATATTAAAAGAAAAAATAAGTTAAAAATGTATTTAATTATTTTACATTTTTTTCTCATATATATCATATCTAATTATAAAAAAATTGAATAATCTTGCTGAACATAATTATTTTAACCTACTAAAGTAACCAAAAAAATTAAAATAACTTACTAAATTAACCAACCTCCCATACACCTCCTATAATTTTGCGTGGCTTTATTATTTTTTTTAGAGACCACACTCCTGTTTCTAATTACACTCATCTTTTTTGTCCTACGTTGAAAAGATAAATATTAGATCATTGAGTACGTATAATGTGAATATTAGTGTGTAATGTTTTCTAGTTTCCGCTTCCCTCTTCGTTCTTCGTGTTCTTTCCGTTATATTAAAATTGATTGTTGTTTTTTTCTTCTTTCCTTAAGAACTTATAAGTAAAATTAAAATTAAAAAAAAAAATCTATATTCTATAATTAAAAACTTCATTTCATTTTTCGTTTTCTTCTTTTATATGTTTATTATGAAATGTTGTAAATGCAACATGTGTTCAAATTAATGTTCAGACAAATGCATTAACATGTTGTACAGATGCTTACTTTAACATGGTTTAGAAAAGTATTTCATAATCAGTCAAAACAATTGAATAAATATTTTAAAAATAATAACTCATAAAAACATACATAAAAAAGAGCATATCATACTATGCAATTCTTACAAAAATCTATATAAAAACAAAAATTTAATAAATTATTGAAAAACAAACTCTTTAAAAATGTTGAGAAACCATACTACGGGATTTGCATGTTCCTTTCCTTTGCTAGAAGGAATAGCTTTTTCTGTCTCTTTTGATATTTCTTTGTGTTTTTCCTTTGCCTTTGCCCATTAAAAATAAGTAGAATATATAATTCAAATATATTTTTAAAATGATAAGAAAATGCATGCGAATATAAGTTACTTGTAGGCTTACCTCACGAATGCGAATAGTATTTAAGGTCACCCTCATCGCGGACAACAACATTAACATTTCTTTCTTGAAGAAATTGAATCTATATATATAAAAAACTTTAGAGTGATAAATAAAATTTTGTACACATAAATAAGAAAACAAAATCATTTCTTTCTTGATATTACCGTTCGGTGTAAGTCTTCATCCACCTAAAAAGTATGAGGGAAAAAGCATTTATTAGAAGAAAATTAGATATGATAAGTTTAAAATAAATAAATAAATAGGCCTTACATTATAAGAGAGGTATTTAAATTTCTATGGGGGGAGAAAAAAAAAAAAAACACTTGACCGAAAATAGTGATATTGTCCATAACTGTTGTACTTCAACTTGAAATGTTTGGTTATATAATTGTGGTTGTTCGATGATGTATTTTAACAATCACATTAAAATGATAAAATTAAAATCAACCCTAGCAACATGAAGAGTATTAAAATGGAAACACAACAATTGTCCAAATTTGAACTCTTTTTTCCCCCAATTGACTTCAATTTTATAGTGTTGAAATTAAATTTATTATTATCATTTAGAAAGTCCAAACATAAATGTATGCCACCAAAAAAAAAAATGTTTAATCAACAATTTATACTAACTATCAAGTAAAACTAACCCAACACATTGAAAAATACAATGGAACATTCCCAAAAAAAAACATGGAACAAACAACCCCAAATTCATAATAAAAAATGAAAAAAATACAATCGAACAAACAAACAATGGAAGAAACTATACGCACTGGAAAAAAAAAACTAAAAAAACACATTGGTTAAACCATACCTACTGTTTTTAATTACAGGAAGGGAATAAAATAAATTTATCACCTATATATTTTTCATAAACACATTGGTTAAACAAAGTCTTCTATAATGCTATTTAACACCTTTCAATAATTTTTCTATTGGTTGGCCTTTCAATCATGAATAGTAACATATAACATAATCTATGATGTCAAGGTAATGTGCCATGTGGGCTCCAAGAAATAAAAGTAATATTAAAATGGCTGCTTAGTCTCTGCTTCTTAGTCAATAAGAGCATGTTCATTGTGTGAAGTACCCATGTAAATCAATTTATTGACATATAAAGACTATACTTTGAGTATGAATAACTGGCAAGAAAAAAAATAGAAGTAAAAGAACATATACCACTAACTGGTATGTTTTGGATCAGCAAAAAGTGAATATGATTTTACTACGCAAAAGAACATCAACAAAGGTGAAATAGATACCACTGAAAATTTCATACATCACACTAAACAAAAGGTATTACATGCCATGCATTCAATATCATCTTAGCCTAAATCACACTAATAGTCCCCAGTAATGGAAAGATCCTAAAAAGAAAAAGAAAATAAAAACCACCACCACCACCACCAAGTAACACACTGTATATGCAGACACAAAATGTAGGACCTGTTATTTCCACCTCAGAATAGAAAGAAAACTGGTTGTTCTCACTTGAGGTGCCTTTGGAAGGCATATATAGATAGATTTGCAGCTGTTCAAGGTTTCCTTGCTTGCAAATGCAAGTATGATGATAAATTGATAATTATTGATCCATTCACATAGGGTCTATCCAATTTGAAAATTGCAGAACAACTCTGCCTTGGATTTGAGAGTGTTAATAATGGTGGAGTTATATTCGTAAATTATTGAAAATACATACTGAGCTGAAGTTTATGAGAACTTGCTGGCTTCTAAAGGCAATGAGGTAATGAGGCTAAAACTATGTATACATGAATGGTTGTAAAACTAAGATTGAAGGGCCCAAACAACTATTATGAGTCTTTTATGTGCCGTTGTTTCAAGATAGTAGCTCTTGTACCATAAACAATTTGACAACCTAACATTGTTCAGGTGTTTGCCTGGTTTTTCTAGGAAATAGATGAGCTATGTGATGAATGGGTTCCAGAATCTCTTATACCACCAATTACAGAAGAGCTGCGATATGAGCCTCTGGTATTGGAAAGGTAAAATTAGTTTTGGTTTGTCTTTATTTTATTATTTCCTTAACCTCTGAATTCTCTTGAAATGTTCTGAAAGTTATGTAAATGTGTTTCTTGCTTGGTACTACACTTATTTCTTTTTCATGCACTATCCAACCCTTTCATAATTTTATTTTGCAAGAATTATTATATGTTGCCTTTTCCTTTTTTCTTTCTTCTTTTCCTTTTTTAAGTTTTTCCCCAGTTAGGTTGGTTAGCCACTGTCATGTAGGTGTTCATTATTTTGAGTATGGGTAAAATCTTATTTTTTAATCACTACGTATACTTTAAGATCCAATAAATATTGAAATTCTTAAACAAAAATTATTTGTGAATTATTATTTTTTTAAAATATAAAATACACAAATCAAATAATCTGATCACATATCATGATATCAAATATAAAAAAAATCCAATAACACTAAAGAAACATAAATGAGGTGGGGTCATATAAATTGTGAATCCTCTATAC